TTCTTGTTAGAAAGGACAAGAGGACAACAGCCAGTAAACAAACACGGAGCGGTGCACAAGCGAGGCATTTGATTAGCTGTAATCAACACGAGGTTTTAAGTCTGAGGCTTCCTCGTTAAGTCTGAGTGCTCACAGACTCTCGTTGGATTTGGTTTTGTCTCTACAGGCTTATATCAGGCTACAACAGCCTCACTGACAAACATCTCGCTGGTTACTTCAGCAAAACTCAAATCAGGAGACACCTGCAGAGAGCAGGCCTGGTATGTCAGCGAGACAGACCTTTTCAGTTTATTTTTAAGCATATAACAAGTTGAAGTGTTCGTACAATCTGTCTGAGAGGGTATTTGTGATCAGATCACCAGAAGTGGGCGAATTGTACCAGACAAGGAGTACAGACATAAGCTGATGCACAAAGCCCGTCAGAGACATGTCAGAGAGTGCTTGGCCCAGGCCGTTTTCCAAAAGGTGCTGGAGATGGAGGTGAGAAAAATAGGAGAGACAGGAAAACGATAATCATCTCATTTGTGATTACCCTCGCACAATAACTAATGCAAATTATTCTTGCTGCTTGGCCATACAGCGTCTCCACCAGATCGAGATCAAAAGAAAACTGGAGGACTTTGCAAGGATGGAACGAGTGCATAGGATAAAGGTACTACAACATTTACATTTTAACAGCCACTGCTTTCCTATTCTCCAAATATGGCTATTGAAGACACAAAAAAGAAGCTATAATGATCAAATCTTCTTACGTATTTATTTAATAAATTAAAAAGATACACATTTTGTGGTGAAAAAGTGTTACAAATTATCTCTAATATGGTTTGAATATTTTGATATCCAGCAACAAATAACATTGTATGAAATGGTCTTGTCTGGAAGCTGGAGCGCTCTAAAAGGTATGAGGAAGATATTTTCCGGGTGCTGTCTCCACGCCCCCCCACAGGATCCAGGACCGCCTGGAAACAGAGCTCAGGTCCAGAGCAGCAGCACTCGGAATCTTCTGAATCTGTGAGTTCAAACACCAGCAAGGACATGTTTGTCATGTCACAGACATATCTAATGTAAAATGCATTTGCAAATCAAAATATACATATATATTTTTTTATTTTAGTCGTAACAATTTGTGATAAAATGTGAAAAAAAATGCTTTTTCAGTAACAAATGAAGATGCTTGTTTCGTTTGGAATTCCCACGACGCATTTTATCTTATTCATTATTAAGTGTAATAAAAAATGTATTTATTATGTTTGCAGTTTGGGCGACTATTATTCATTCAGAAATAATCTCTTACTGTTTCTTTTGGTTTTATACATTACAGTTTATATCATTTTAAAACCTATGAAATATAAAGAATTTTTATCAGTGCTTTTTAAAGAGAATGTAAACATTTAAATAGTCTTAATCCCTCTTCTGTTGATAAATTTGAGCATAGATAATACTCTGAACACTCCTTGTTGATCCTGAGTTTGTAAACATCACAATGCCACAAATTACTTGGTGGAATCAAATGTTATTGGAAAACTAATAACCATCACTGCTCAGTTATTCAGATGTTTATTGTTGGTGTGAGGTAGTAGCACATTTATTAAAAAAAGAAAAACTTTATTTTTAAACAACAGGAATCAGTCTGAAAAGCCTGCTCAATGGGCAGACAGAAGAACAAGCTAATCCGCAGTTATAGCTCTTAAATATCTAAACACATCTTTAACTTTTTAATAGAAATTCTGTCAAAAATATAATTGATTACCTCTACATGTTGGTGGCTGTCATGTTTAGATCAACACTGATGCTTAAGTTTGGAGGTCAGCCTTTGTTTGCTCTATTTGCTAATTTTTGTTCTGTGTGAATCTGGGGATTAGCCACATATTATTTTTAAAATGTTAAAAGTCTTATGACTTGATGCCACAGCAAACAGTGCCAGTAATCCTTTCATGGTCTTTGTGCTTACCCTATGAAATCCCCTTCTCATGTCTGCAAACACCTCACAGCCCTACAGGTTGAGCCTTGTCTTTAGAAGCAGGATCTCAGATAAAAAGATGCACACAGAAGTAGAGAGTATTATGAATAATTAGCTCAGACCATCTGCATTCACTGCTAATTTAGTGGAAAAAGATGAATCCCATTTCAAAATTAATCCTAAATAGTCTTGATAAAATCTGAGATGACAGAAACAAAATAACAAAAAATACAATGCCTTGCAAGAAGAAAAAATATCAATAGCCTTTTTATATAAACCTTTTTTTTCATTCTGTGATGTTGCAGTTCCCAGATTTAAAGGTTATTACTAAAAAAAAGATTTGATAATTCTTGCATGCATATGAATTCAATCTGATGATTCTCAAATCCAGTGCAGAGATACAAGGACTTTTTTCCCTGAATATACTATATTATGAGGATCCACTGCTCCTTATGCATGCTCCCCGTTTGGAAAACTTCTTTTCATAGGTAAGGGGTTAAGTTTAAGACTTACGTTTGAACTGTGTTTGTGTTAGGTCAAAGGTCAGGGCGAGTGAGTGAGTGAGTGAGTGAGTGAGTGAGTGAGTGAGTGAGTGAGTGAGTGAGCGAGCGAGTGAGCGAGAGAGTGAGTGAGTGAGTGAGCGAGCGAGCGAGTGAGTGAGTGAGTGAGTGAGTGAGTGAGTGAGCGAGTGAGTGAGTGAGTGAGTGAGGCTAGATGTAAAAAAAAAACCCTGGGAATGTACTGCAATGGTTAAACATGGTGGTGGCATCCAAATTCTATGGGATGCATTTGTTCAAAGAGAAGAGGGAACCTGAACAGTGTTATGAGATGATAATTATCAGGGTGTCTGTAGAGCTCAATTTAATTTAGTTTATTTATACAGCACCAATTCATAACATATGTACATTACAGTCAGATTGGTTAAAAGTTTTCAATCTAAGGTAAACCAGTTGATTGCATC